ACCTTAGTCTTATAGTTAGCTCTATATATATCCTATACGAGGTAGTTGCGTATAATAGCTAGCATAATGTCGATAGTCTTACGCTATATAAGGCTAACAGTTAGTACGGCGCTTATTCTTTTTTCGACTAATAAGAAGGTTAGCCTATAGGGGTAGCGTTAGCTACTAAAAGGTGCTTTCGGTACTTAGCGGTAGCACGGTCGATTCGGGCCTAATCCTTAGGTTTGTCGTATTAGCCTAGTAGATAGCTAGTACTATTACAATTAAAGCACTTCAATCCGGTTAGAACATTGCCGTAGCTGTTATTATTAGTTAAGCGGTTAGCGTTGTAAGGATACGAGCCTCTTCTACGGCCCCTATTACGGCCTCCTCTATATAGCCGTCGGCTACGGCCTCTTCTACGGTTAGTGTTACTATTCCTATTGTTAGTATTGTTATTCTAGTAGGACCCTTAGCTATTACCTCTACGGGTACTACGATTGCCGCGGTTAGTACTAGCTAGTCGGATCCTCGATTCTAGTCGTTACTAGAGCTAAATAGCCCGTTCGGCTGTTTCTACTTCGACTATAAATTAAATGCGTATTAGGTTAGCCTATTCGAATACACGACGGCGGTCCAATTTAAGGACTAATTCCTATCGCAATTTAGGGCGTATTTCGGAAATCTAGAAAGAGTCGGTCTTAGCTAGCAAATCGTCCTCGAGGGTCTTTAAATAGGCCTTAAATAAACGAGCTAATTAATTAGTCTTTTGCTTAGCTCGAAGGTACTAGTCCTAAGCGTGTTGTTGCCTTAGTATAGGGTTTCTAAGGGTATCTAGCATAATAGTTTTGTAGGTTTGCTACTAAATAGCGGTCTAATTATCGAGGGAGTCGAAATAGTTATCCTAGGTGCGCTTTAGGTCTCTATTAATATATTGCATAGCATAGACGACTAACGAGTAGTTATCTAGAAGAGCCCTTAGTACGTTCCGCTAGTTAAGCTTATAGTTACGGATATAGTCGTTATATTGCTTCCGACTAGAGCTATTAAACATAGTATAGTCCTTAAGCTTAGCATCCTTCTTTTAAATAGTTAGTAAGGAAGGCCCTACTATCGGCTTAGTATTAGTTGTTAGGGCTTCCTATAGGCGGCGAATTTCGAGGAGGTTGTCCTTTAATTATTATTCTTAACGTAAAGTAGCGAGCCTGTTTTAGGTAGCTTCTTAAAGTCTCGCTACTAGCTAGGGGCTAAAGGCTAGTTAGCTATATCGACGGTTAACAATATTGCTTAGAATGTCGTTAATAGGCAATTCCGGGTTATTACCTAGAACTATAGGTTCTTCGGTAGGTCTAGTAGTAGGCTCTTTAGTAGGAGGCACTTTAGTAGGTGCTTTAGCAGGCACTTTAGTAGGCACTATGCTACTAGCGTTGTCGTTGCTAGCGCTGCTAGCGGCAGCACGGTTATTGTTTCGTAATAAACCGGCTATTATAAGGGGCGACACTAATAATGTATTATTAGCCCCTAAGATGCGGATATAGCGGAATTAGTAGATATCGGTCTAGTATACTTAACTTAGTGTAATAGGCCGTATAGAAGGCCTTGCTTAATAATTAGTACAGTTGTTTCGATAGAATAGTACGTATAGGTCCTATTCTTCGGGCGCAATATAGTTAGATTAGTCTTATTCGTAGCTATACCGCTAAAAGCTTAAAATAAGGACTATCTAGCTACTACCCTTAAAGGGTAGATCGAATACTATATAAGAAGGGTTATATTAGCAGATAGATAGGGTAGTAGTAGGTATAGGTAGTATTTAATAAGGAACTAGAAGGAGAGGGAGGAAGGCAGGCAAGTTAGCCTATTACTAAGCGCCAAGCCCTGCCTAAGGCACTAAGACCCTAGCTTTACTTAGCCTAGTTACATGCTAATTACATATAGCCTCTAACAATATTTTAGAAAATTAATAATTAAAGGCTACTAAACCTAACTAATTAGGGCTAGCGAAACTACGAATAATAAGATAGAAATAGCCCTCGGAAACAATAGTAATTAGCCCTCGGAACGAATATTACTAGGTCTTTTAGATTAGACGTAAAGAACTCGAATAATATTACTTAGAATAGAGGTAGTACTATAATACCTCGTACGCCTATCTATTATAGTAGAGAAGACGCGCTCGTATTATAATTAGTTAATAGCCCTTAATTCTTATAGCTATATACTACTCTATTATATATAATAATAGTATAGTTAGAGTTAAATATTATACTACTATAAGAAGGTAAGGTTTAATATAGTTATATAATTAGGTAGTTAAGCGTTTAATTTAGCGTAGCTAGATAGCTTAGTTAATCTACTAAGTTAGCGGCAATAGAGGTTAAGACTACAATATAGATAGGCTACGAGGGCGCGGCCTTTAAAAGAGAAGCGTATATTAGAGGCTATATATAATTAGTATATAACTAGCTCGAGTAAAGCTAGGGTCTTAGTACCTTAGGTAGGGCTTAGCGCTTAGCGTTAGGCTAACTAGCCTGCCTTCCTCCTTCTCCTCCTAGATCTCTATCGAATACTATACTAACCTATTACTACCCTATCTACCTACTAATATAACCCTTCTTATATATAGAGGTAGAGTATAGCTAAGTAATATCGCTCATCTAAAAGGTAGCACTACGTACAAGAGTAGCGCTAGAGTATTGCAGTAGACTAGCCGGCTGCTCCCCTTTAGACCGCGTACAGTATAGCGTACTACGCGAGCTTGGCGCTATTCACTGGTTGGTTCCATAATGGCCCACAGTCGGCTGTCTGAAAATAGAAGGAGCGGACTTCCGCCAAGCTTCCAGATCCTGGTGGCTGTGCACTTCTCCGGAGGGGCTGGCTTCAGTGCAACCGTGCCAGTGGTCGCGGTGCACGAACACTCGAGCAGAAAATGATGGCCGGCTGCAACACGGTGTATTTTCGCTCTGAAGCACTAGCAGGTCGTGGCCCAAGCAAAGCAAAGCGGACTGTCTCAGACGAAGGTGCGGGTGCATTAGCGGCCACTGGACGCTCCGCGGTAATATAGCACTGCAGACGTCATCCCGTCACGGTGGGAGCCATCCATCTTCTGGTGCGGTCACCGTTACATTCCACTGCGCTGGGAGAGTCTTTGTTGACGTCCAATTCGAGAAAGGAGGATGGAGGGATGAAGTTGCTGTGGCGGAAAAAGGAAAGGGTTCCGAGCACATGGCGAGGAGCGCGAGCGGATGTATTGCACCGCAGCTCAACCGCATGACCGGGCTCTTCATGTACAGGGAGGGTATGGCATGGCTACCTCCGACGATGATGGCTTTGAGTTGTGCCGACCTCATTCGCTGTTCTCAGAGTTCGCAGGCCTTGAGCAGGACTAGACGAGTGCATAAAGATACCGAAACAAGGGGGTTACCCTGTATACAGGATTGCTGGATGTGGCAGTGCCGCGGAGACCGAGGACGTATGTATAGAATATCGGCTCGCAGCGGTATGCCATTATTGTACGAAAACTGGACACTGGTCCCATGTGATGAGATGACCGGGTGAGGAAGCAGGCTGCTTCTGGCGGTGGCACTTACAATGCTCTCCACGATGCGCTGAAGTTCCTATTCAAAGAAGAACCTTGGAGCGAGTGGCCAAGTTCATGCCCGTTCCCGCATCAGCAATGCCGCGCTACATCCACGTTGAAGGTCGGTGCGAGTGACAGTCGATTGGAGGTCTCGGCAGTGGTTTCTGCTAGAGCCTAGAGAGCAGAGCAGAGCGCGTCTGCGATCAAAGGCCGCTCCGAGGCGGCACGGTGGGCAGATGGACAGCGTGCAGAGGCTATGTACAGTATGGAGGTGTCGCCATGTTCATCGCCGGACGGGCACGATCCGTGGGCTCTAGGCGCTTTCTTTTACCCAATTGTGAAAAATATGCCTGCCAAATATAGATAGCTCGGGTAGCGTGCTTCTCTGCCGCATCTCCGGCCGCAAAGTCCAGACTCTCACCCAGCTTCATCACATTTTCGACGTCTCCAGCATTGGCGTTGGCATGGATGGAGGAATCCCGTCATCACTGGGAATGCCACGCGAGCGCAGCCACAGCGGGGGTTGGGTTGGAGGCGGCTCAACAAGGTACGAGGCGTTTGGCAGCGTCCGGTGCTGACGGGCAGGCGTGAGCGCGGTCGGGTAGGGGTAGGGTAGCAGATGGAAGCGGTGCACAGAGAGGCTGAGCACTCGACGGATGCCGGAAGGGGAATATGGCGACGTCCAGTACGGGCAGGCCTACGCACCGAAGACACAGTTGCTGCAGATGGCCGCCGAAGCATAAGCAGAGCAGAGCAGAGCAGTGCAGTGCAGTGCAGTGCAGTGCAGCGCAGTGCATAGTCTCGCGCGTGCATGACCTGCCCGCCAGGCTCTCACCACTCGCCGTCCGTTATTACCTCTGCGCCGTTCTGCTCGTTCCAGGGTCTGATAGAATGCACAGTCATCATCGTGTGGCAGTGTGAAGACGTCGCATGGGCAGAAAGTCTAAGCAGACATGCAGCGATGCAGTGCCCGAGCGTCTGGCTTTCCGTCAGCCTAGCGAGTGACTCGCGCACTGCTACTGGCACTGCAAGCTTCGACGGGAGCGCGCTGATGGGCCGCGGCCGTCGAGCTGCTACAGGTGAACCTGGTTATAAGCAACCGGCCGGGGGAGCCATAATAATGCTTATAACCCGATGTTGCTTAGAGCTAGGCTTGGCTAGCCCTTAGCTAGGCTCGAAGCAGTTTAGAATAGGTGTATCTTCCGGCCTTCTTTATCTCTTTTCGGACGGAACAGGCCCCAAATACCTCGGATATGTGCTTCCGGACAAGCAATCGCTGCAATCGTAAAACAAGAAAGCCGGGATGTTCCAAGCGATTGCTAACTTACAGTATACTACCTAAAAAGCGTTGAATATCGAGATCCGTAATCATCCGTTGCTTAAAACCCGACATTGCTTATGTACCCCCGGGTTTGACTGTAATCAATCGCAGGTGCAGGTGCAGGTGCAGCCCATGCGTGCCGATGTCATCTCTCGTGTACGAAGACGAGCACTTCCCTCCCTCCCTCGCTCGCCTTCGCCTTCGCCTTCGCCTTGGCCTTCCGGGGGGCCTGCACTGGGACTACGGGCGATTGTGGTTAGCTCAGCAGTCGTCTATTTCCAGACGTGAGGACTGCAGCTCCGCGCAGGTACAACTACGCTTCGACGCTTCCATCGGCCTTGGGCTTGGTTGAATCCCACTGTACATCTCACGTCGACGTCGATGCGTCAAACTCACAGCCTATTGCCGGACGCCCATCACATCCGTCCCAGCACTTGCCCAGACATACACTCTCGCTTCTAACAGCCCACGGTCGCTTTCGAACTTCCAATATACAGCCTACGTTCGCTACTACATCACTAGAGCCCGCCGCAGCGAAACGCCTTTACCTGCACAGCCGGCCGCGGATCGAATCCTTCCCCACTCTGGAGGAGTAGCACCTGTCTATCTACTGTTCAGGCACCACACGACCACCATCACTGTCAACAGGCCCAACAGCATCAACCGTGTTTAGAACACACTTCGCTTGCTAGGTCCGGTGTCACTGTCTATCATCGCCACGGATCATTCCGCCATGGCAGGCCAAGGTACTGGTCCATCCAGGAGGAGCCATACCAAGAGTCGAAAAGGCTGCAAGACCTGCAAGCGAAGACATATCAGATGCGACGAAACTTTCCCGCAGTGGTGAGCGCATCAAAATGACGAGCAACGATGCTGATGAGACTGACTCGAAGCAGCCGCAATTGTACCAAGCATCAGGTCCGATGCGACTACATGGAGAATGTGGGTTCGGACAGTGAAGGCCAGTCAAGTCCAGAGCAACCGAACATCTCCTTTTCGCCAGGCACTGAAAGTCGCATCGATCTCTGGCAGCAGACAGGTAGTTTCCCTTATCCAGGACTGCAGGTCTTTCCACCTCCTCAGACGCATGAGTATTCGAAGAACGAGCTTCGGCTCATCCACCATCTTTCTGCCATTTCGAATGATCTTATGCTCAAAGGCACCTCAAACTTGACAATATGGACGGCGAAAATACCCAAGTTCCTCAGCATTGCAGCGTCTTATCCTTATGTTATGCATTCTCTTCTCTCCTTCTCCGCAAATCACCTTGCCTGGAGTCGGTCATCGTCCGAGACTAGGAATCTGCACATTCAACACGGAACGATTGCTTTGCGAGGGCTTCACGAAGCGATCGGGAGCTTTTCGCATGCGAACGCGGATGCAGTTTTGGCCGCTTCGTTGTTGCTTTTGTGGCAGGCCACAGATTGGTAACCGCTCTGCATTCGAGTTGTGGAAGTCCCATTGCTAATCGATAATCCAGGCGGAGCTGGTCTTCTCTGCGCGCAGGCATACAGTCGGTGTTGGCCGCCATGCAGAGCTGGAAGCATGAATCCATCTTTGCGGAGTATATCAACGAAGAGGATCTATTCGTGGGCGCATATCCCTCGAGGAGGCCATCATTAGATGCAGCCGATCGGAACACGATTCTCTCGGACACAATTCAGGCATCTCAGCAACTGCAGCGGTTCCTAGGAGGGCATGAGACGGAGTCTTACTGGATCGGTCAGTTGCTTCAGTATCTGCAACGTTTACACATGTCCAATCCGGCGCAGACGCCTGATGAGCAATACAGCCACTTATACCTTCTTCGCAAGTGGCTGTTCTGGGTACCAACTCTGCTCTTAGAGAGACCGGCTGGCCAAGGACCATCGATGTTGGTGCTGTCACACTTCTACGCTACCGCACTTGCACTGGAGCCACTCTACCCGGACCTTGGATCCGCGTTCTGCGCCAGAATCGCGCTCTCGCCGCTGGAGCAGATCATCAACGTGACTGACGCGATGCAATCCCAGCACACGATGGATCAGAATTCAGTAGAAATCGCTGCTCTGATGCAGTTTCCGCAACGAATGGCCTTGGGGTTCAGGGACACACTGTTACAATCGCAGCAGATGGCCATGCAGCAAGCATCTCCGATGCTAGGCGTCAACCCTGACACGCTGAGCTACACAAGCATAGGCAACCTCAGTCCAGCGTTCGCTCCATCTCCTCTGCACGCCGCGCAGACTCCGTCGCAGACCTCACATGCATCGTATCTTGAAGTTCCTGCCTCCCAACCGGGATTCACGTACGGTACGCAAAGTTGGGGCGTTGTCCCGAGTCCCGGCTTTCCACCACAACAATACGTGACACAAGACGAGGAGCTTTACGGCTATAGCCTGGGCGGGTTTCGAGGAGGGTTCGTACCATCTCCGGCGCCCATATGGATATGAGCTTCAGGACCAAGGCTAAGTGCGTACTCCAGGACTCCACACACCACCGAGCCAGAGGCAGGCCCCTCAAGCTTCAGACGACAATATTGAGCTGAAGAGTCGAGTCCATGGAATTCCGAAAGGAGGCACGCCAGAGACGATTCGACTCTCTCAAAGACAACCTGACCTTTTACTACGAGTTCTTTTGTCGATACTTGCTTCCTATAAGATGTAATATCTACGGCCTTGATGAAGCGCAAGCGAATGACTCGATACGACTCTCCTTGATATCTGGGCGGATACAATGTTACAACGACATCACCGACTTTGGCGACAGCACTTGGTTATGTGCTATTGCGTGGGAGGACGGGCGTGAAATTTGGCATACCTGGGACTAGTTTGTCTGTCCTGACAGCGTTTGAAGTTTTTAGAAGATTGGCATGCATATTTGAAGCGAATACGCTATAGATTGCTCGTGAGAGACTGTATCATACACAGCGAAAGAGATGGCAGCACTTGACGACTGACAGAAAGTTCCAATAGTGGATCCCAAATATAACTATAAACTTCGACCTTCGAACTTCGAACGCGCGTCACACGTCCAGCTCATCGGACTGCATATGTATTTGAGCTGCAGCCAGACAGCCAGGAAGCGACGACATCACCCTATCATGATGCAGAGGTGCTGCTCATCAGACGGATTTCGCCACACCTTTGATGCCGCTCCAGGTGCCGCTCCAGAGGCAGGCCTAATCGGGACTCTTGGCTGCCCATTCGAGCACCGTTCGCTGCCGCTGTAGAGCTAGAGCGGCCGCTCTAGGCTTCTAATATCCGGGGTTTCGTCAGTCGAGCTGGGGCGAGGGGTGAAGTGGGCTGACGCAACCCCGGATACGTCAAAACATTTGGTTTAGCATAACTTAAGCATAACTCAGTCTTTGAACACGACGCGTTGTAGAGAGACTGGTAGCAGAGGCCGTACATTCTAGCACAGCAACGGCATAAGTTGTGCAAAATTTCTGCTTCGCTTAACTATATTCGGATCTTGGCGGCTTAATTAGGGACTAGAGCGGCACCTGTCGAGTCAGAAGGGTGTAGCGAAATCCGTCTATCAAGCTTCATACCGTCGCTCGATGAAGGCGCCCGCGCAATCAAATGTCCGATTTTTGCTGTACCTAGGGTCGATATATTGTCCGTAGCACTAGGAAGCTAACCTTGATCAGGTCTTAATGGCAGCACCCTCCTCGTATTTGAGCTGTCGAACCAGGCGGTCGGATTATACACGGGTGTACACCAGTGTGATATATAATATACACGGCCTCCATTTCTTAGGGGCTGTGAGCCCACAACACTACTTTGTGGCTCACAATTTTCGTCCCCAATTCTAGAGTTTTGTGGCGCCTGGGGACTTTTGCTTGCACAGCAACGCGCACGTACAGATTTCTGGTCTGTTCACTGCCTTCCCGCAGACGTTGCAAGCCTCAAACCCTTGAAACTGGGTCTCAAAAGATACAGCGTCAACGCACATCGGAGTGAAAGTTGATACCAGCGGCCGGCAGAATCTGAGATTTCAGATTTGTTACGAACCATGAAGTCCAGGATTAGGGAATTTACCGCTTTCACTCCGATGTGGGTTGCCGCTGTACTTTGAACAACGAAGGAATGGCTGGCTGGCTGGAGAAACTCCTGCGGCAGTGCCCGTCCCGTGTTGCTATCGATGCCCACCACCTGGCGTTATCGAAGTGATCAAGATGCTCGACGGTGATTCTCCCAGGTGTCGACGACTTCCTTGAGCTTAGCCAGCATATCTGTTTTCCTGATGTGGCTACACCAGCTACCACGTATACTATTCTCACAAATTGTCTTCCAATCTGCGACGCTCAGCTGGAACGCTTTCTGCACACCGATGTAGTTGTCCATTATATAGTTACCAAACTGATTGGAAACAGTGTCAGCCTTCTTACGAACGTCTCGAATCACGATCCATCGCCGTGGGACCGAAGCAACTCACATATGCCGGATCATCGCTATAGATAGAGAACTTGACGCCGGAGTCTAAGAACTTCCTGATCGGAAGGTCTGCAACCTGGCGGACACAACGAAGCAGGACATTGGACATGGGACACACGCTGAGCAGTGTGCCATCCCTCGCAACGCGCTCCAACAGCTGCTGGTTTTCGGCAAGTCGAATTCCGTGATCAATGCGTTCGACTTCAAGGACATCGAGCGCGCTTTGTATGTATTCTGACGGGCCTTCTTCACCGGCGTGTGCGGTCCTTCCGAGCCCTAGATCCTTTGCTTCCTTGTAAAGGTCTTCGAACCACTCCGGTCGAAAGCTCTTCTCGCTTGAATCGAGACCGATGCCGATGACGCTTCCAGATCGAAAGCTTTCTTGCACTTCGTCAAGAGCAAACGTTGCCTTGCAGTCTGCAACAGGAAGGTGCCGCAGAAAACAGCAGATGAGCTCGCTGGAGATGCCGAGTTCCGCTGCAGCTCGCTTGCGTGCTGCCCTAAAGCCGCTCAAGACAGTTTCGTAGGGAACTCCGCGTGACATATGAGCTTGTGGATCAAAAAAACTTCGGCGTGAGTGAAGTAATCCCTGGGCAGTATAAGCTCTAGTCGTCGAAGGATTCTCACGGCGTCTGCACATCGTTCGTGCGAGCCATTGAGGCTACGCTTCGAGACGTGCTAGGTCCCTGGGGGAAATTGCTTACCAGGCAAGAGCTTCAAAGTCGGAAGCATCGATGAGTACACTCATGCCTTCTAAGTGCATGTGATTCTCGCATTTTGGCAGAGCTCGCAGGAAGTCGGTCGTCGGTTGCTCGCCCATCTTGCTGCTCTCTCTCGATCTCCTTGAGTATTTACTTGAGCAGCGTGGCACAGCGTGATGGTCTCGTAGAATTCATGCATGAGGCATCGAGGAACAGCTCACACCTGAGCTGTCAGTGCACAGTCATACATTTTTCCTCCAGCGGTGTCTTGTGCTTCATGACTTCTTGGCTCTCAGGAGTATGCATGAACCATTCGGGCCGTCTCACATGGCAAGAGTCCCGCTCTCGGTCTACAGTCCGTTCCATTTGAATGATGTGGAGATATGGGGCATGGCTTATGAAAGGACTGATCTCAGAAGAATGGACGTGTTGACGATGTTGGCAATTGCGCCACAATTCGCTCCGCCGCACGACAGGTGGATCTTTCCTGGGACGAGCCGACCACTCCATCTGGCCAGGGAGGGAGGGCAACCGGCGGTCGGAAGCGAGATGTTGTGCTCAATGAACTTTTATTGGTACACACTCGAATTACTGTACAGAGGTGTGCAAGTCTTGCATATGCAGCCCTTGCATGTTGTGGCGAGAATCATGACTCGCTTGTTTCCTCCCCGGCAGTCCTAGTGTAACATTTTCACTGCGCATCTTCACTCCATAAGGTACAGTATGGCAAACGCGGCTATTCACAGCGTGCAACCGTAACATTGCTATCTTCAACGATGGGGAAAAAGTTCATGATGCATCGCGGTGGGAAGAGTCAGTGCTATTTTCTATTTTGTCGTACTGTTGTGGAACACATGACCTGGCGCGGATGGGGACACTTTGAGTTGCACAGGAGTGACAACGCGACCTTCACGAGGCCATCGGCAACACGTGGCAGGCGCGACATCTGAGACCGGCTTCTGCCAGGAGCTCCCAGAGCTTGTTACCAAAATTGGAATGTGCCCTGGACCTTCCAAGGCTTCCATCATGAGTGGCACCATTCATAATCATTGAGCTGTGTGGGCGGGAAAGGTTGCAGACCTTGTTCGCGGACACGGGTCCATCGCAACGGGCACATCTTGATAGGCGTTGACGAAGAATTTTGGCACTTGTGCTTCTCACGTACACTGCCGAGTAGCGGAAGTGAGGCAATGCATGCAATCGGCTCAATTCCATATGGGAGCTGCCGAGACGCAGCATCCATGCGTATTTGAGACATTCCGTAACGGATGAGATCTTCTAGAAGACGGTTGTGGCTCTGCCTGTGGCCCAGTGCGGAGGACGTCGCTCGCGTGCATTTGAACCTTACCGTAGCGCCTGGCTCTTTTTGCGCACGCCGCTCCGGCGCGTGGAACGACTTCTCGAGTCATCAGGGCGGGCCGCGACAGCCTACAAGCTGCTCTTGGTTGGCATTGCAGGACGAGAAGGCATGAGAAGGCGCTCGTGTTGGTCCAGGTTCCTCGTCCAGGATTGAGTCTAGCAGTGGCAAGGGCCAGCTCAGGGAGATTTTGTTGCAGTGCTTCTTGGCGAAGAAGTCTCAGGCCAGGCAAGGCGAGCGATGCAGATCCCCTCGGATGGGAGGCCGGCAGAAGAATTCAGCGCATTGGTCAAAAGCTTGTTGATCGGAGCCTTTGAGCTATGGCATGCCTCTCGCTCAACACACACAACAGCGTGCAGCAGCTCGCCGCGGCAGCCCAGCAGTTCGCTTGCGACGCCGCCGTCGGAAGCAGGTTATCTATCTGATGAGGATGGCGATGGCAGCAGAAGATGGAATGCTTCTGCGTCGCGCCTGCCTGAGATGCGCAGTGACAAAACTATTGTTCGGGTAGGTTGAATCGTGCAGAGATGCCCCGACCGCGTTCCTGGTAACGTTACTTGCAATGTGAATCCTGGTGCCCCGGCGACTAGGAGTCGACGACCCCTACCGTGGGCAGAGCGTCGAGCGTGAAGCGTGCAAGCCGCCGTGCTCGCTGCCGTTGCCCGTGCCTGTCTGTGCGTTTCCAGCAGTGCAGTGCATTTCCAGCCCGCTCCCCCTCGAGACTAAACCGAGCCCCAGCTACCCGCCCGAGCCCCAGCATAACCCGAGATTACGAGATCGCCTGCTCCATAAAAAATCGCGTGTAGAAGCAGATGATTGCGTCGCTGCAGCCCCTCCGACCGGGGCATTCACCGGATCTTCAATCCCCCCCTTGCTGGCGCGGCATCTTGGACGCATCCGAGAAGTGGCCAGAGACGCTGGGCGTTGCTGAGAGTCGTCCAGATTGATACAGTATTGCGGGAGTGGAAGACAGCTGGCAGAGATCAGGCCGGTGACGCGGTTGCTGCGATCTGTGTGTACCTGCGAGCGTCCCGGGAGTCTGTACGGCCTGTGCGCGCAGCCAGATGAATGACGCGAGCTCCATGAGGACCATGGCATGCTCGCCGAAGCGCGTGGCTGCCACTACCCGGACCCGGACCTTGTGCGCACGTCTTAATTGAGAAAGGTAGGTGACTAGTGACTACCGAGCGACTCGCTCCAACTGCCTCTCATTGCCTCACTGCCTCACTGCCTCGCTGCCTCGCTGCCTCGCTGCCTCGCTGCCTCATCACGCACATCGTCACGACTCTCGACAGAGCGCTGACTGCACGTCTTCTGGCCCGCCAGCCCAGCGCCCGCCGTTTCTCCGCCCCCATCACCACTTCACTTCTTGCCAGCAGCGTCGCGCTCTCGGTGGCGCCTTCTCTGCCGCTCCCGCAGCCGCTGCCACTCCCGTGTGGGCTTGGTGCAGCAAACATTCCGTGAATCGAATTCCAATTCAATTCCAGCCTTGTGCCTCGGCGAGGGCCCTGATTCCTGAGCTGACCTCTGATTTCTCGCTCCGAGCGGCCATTGACAGCCCGTCGTGCCTACCGCCTGCCGCCTGCCGCCTACCGCCTGCTGTCCCCTTCTTCCCGGCCAGTCTTCTGTCACAGGCTCACTGGCCACCTCATCAGTGCGAGGGACTTCTTCACCATCCCACTACCAGCACGCCACTCGTCCGCCGCGAGCACGTGGCATGCATTGCACTCACCAACCACAAGACTGTCCTCGGAGCGCATCACCTGCATCGGCGCTTCTGTATGTCTTGAGCCTTTGTTGAGCAACTATTCCCCCAATCGCCCTCCACGCCTCGAGCCGCTCTCTCCTCTCCAATATGGACGCCAACCGGCAGCACTCGATGCGAGCGCCTTCGCCCGGCAATCAACAGGCACCCGCACCGTATCCGCCAGCGGCAAATGCGAGCTCCTTGCATCCCCCAGGACCACAGTATCACGCACCGGATCAGCAGCAGTATTCCGGCAACCCCCCTCCTTCTCCCGCGATGCAACATCTGCAGGCGAATGGCATGGCCCAACAACAATTCAACTCGCCGTATGGAAATATGCCCGGGCCTGCCGCCGGACCTCCCGTGCCTGGCCTTGCACCGGATGGCTACATGAATCACGACTCTGCTCTTTCAACACCCGGAATATCGCCGACCCATCCAACGGCGGTAGCTTTATCTGCCCAGCAGAAGCGCGCGTATCGACAGCGCCGCAAAGATCCAAGTTGCGATGCTTGCAGAGAACGCAAGGTCAAATGCGATGCCACTGATACCTCCAGCTGCTCGGAATGTTCCAGCCGCGGTGTGAAATGTCAATTTACCAAGGAGACGAACCGCAGGATGTCATCCATCAAACAGGTGCAGGATCTTGAGAAGCAGCTTTCTATGGCCAAGCAGCAGATCAATCAACTACGCACTATGCTGCAGGAAGGAGGCAATCATGATGCTTCTTCGTCTGCCGCAGCAAATGTGCCCACGTTACAACTGCCAGAGCCCACGACAAAGAAGCGTCGCCCACTGCCACCCGTGATCGAAGGCTTCGACGATGTCAGAACCAACATTCGCACATACAGCAAAGGCATCTTCAAGCCGCCGCCTCCGTACAGGCATTTCGGACCTCAGCCAACCTTTCCAAATGCCAGCCTAGCACTGCCTCCCAAACACATTGCGGATCACCTCATTGCGAATTACCGTGGCTCTGTACACCTCTACGCACCACATCTGCACATGCCTACGTTTTTGCAAGAGTACGAGGACCTATATAGGGCTGGCAACTTCCAGCAATGTCGCCATGTATGGGTCTCGCTTTTCTATGCCGTTTTAGCATGCGGGACTCTTATGGATGCACAATCTAAGCCGTCAACGGAAGAATCGGTGGGCGCGCAGTACATGGACGAATGCACGAGAAGCTTGAACACATGGAGCGACGAATTAACGGCTGATCACGTCCGTGCCAGTCTTCTCATCAGCATCTACTTCGTGGAAGTCAACATGCGATCTCCAGCTTGGGTTTGGCTTGGCGCTGCCGTTCGTATAGCGCAGGATATCGGTCTGCACACCGATCAAGGGCCCTACTCGCCCATGGAGACCGAGATGAGGCGACGAGTGTGGTGGAGTGTCTACAACTGGGATCGGTGAGTTAGCTGTGCATGCAGAATTTGCTTTGACTTTGACCAATGTTTGCAGCGTTGTTTCTCTCGACTTCGGCCGGCCGCTGATGATTGACGATAACGACTGCGATGTAAGCGAACCCGTCCCCGTCGACGATGATTGTATACGTCCAAACGGCATTGTCATGCCTCCTCCAGGATCGACAATACCCAGTGGTCTGATCGCCGTGATACCCGTCACAAGGACTACTGCGCAACTCAAGACAACACTGAAGTCGCAGACGATCGCTGCGTCCACTCTCGCTACCTGCGACGAGCACTTCAAATCAATCATGGCCTCATGGCCTGAGCCTTATCCAATTTACTCCCAAGCTCCGCTGGATCCTCGACTGGTTACAGCTGCTTGTAGTCTGCAGACGCAGCGCTTTTTCCTGTATCGCCACAACCTCTCTCCTGCTTGCAAAACGAATGATCGACGGGATGCACTGGATCGATGTGTCTACGTGGCCAAGGACACGGCGCACTACGTGCAGCGTACATTGCAGCACCCATCCACCGGGCCGGCTCAGGGATTCATGGGTCAAGCACATATGGGCAACTGGGCGTCAATGATTCGATCCATGATGCCTTCTTTCTTCTGCGCGCACTTGTGGAGGGCACAGCTTGTCCTGTGCCTGCGAGGTGAGTATCAAGCGGCTCAAATGCTTGTTCACGTGTCCGCAGCCGTTGGCGACCTTCGCAAGATCAACGTTGCGTGTGGCCGATATCTCGCGTTCTTCCTGGAGAAATTGATCGAGAGATTGCGAGCTGGCGTAAGCCAACAAGCGATTGAAACGGACGAAGAATTGCTGGCGTACGCGTCTGGCGATATGCAAGGAAGTGCTGATGACGCGTGGGCTTGGAGTGGGAGCGAGACTGGCGCAAACCTTCAGCAGCCACAAGGGGTTGTCAACGGGCATTCTGGAGATAAACCGGCCCTTCAAGCCGAGCAGCTATCGACAAGTACTCTGTCCGAGCGGGAGGCGAAAGAATGGGGAGGCTGGGAACATATACAGCGGACTCTTCAGCAGCTCATCGACCACAAGCAACCACAGGGTTCACAAGGGGACCCAGCATCACAACATAGCTCGGTGCCTCCCACGCCCTCGCAGCAACCAGATGGCCAGTTGCAAACCTTTCCTATGCCACCGCAGCAGCAGAACTTGGCTCCGCAGCCTCCGCCGGCTGCCAGCATGTCCCCGAATCCGGCTGCAGGCAACTCGAACAGCGGCAGTTCAGGAAATGGAAGTGGAAGTGGAAATGGAAATGGCAACGGTGGCAACAACAGCAGCAGGATCAGCATCAAGGACATAATGTGAACAGCTAGGGCCTCTGTACAGGTTGGCTTCAATCAATAAATCAGAGCACGCAGCACCATGAAAGTTATGGCCAGCTTCAACGATGTATGATTGTGACGACGAATGAGTAGGGCGCGTTTTGGCATTGCGGGAGCGGTCCATGTTAAAGTTCTTTTGCATGGATCGTAGAGGCATGCATAGTGTGCACCAGCGCCTGGTGACTGGCGAGAATGTACTCTTCTATGACTCAACGCACAGCACATACAGCGCACAGTAGCGCAATCCTGTGCTTGCCTGGCGCCTTTGATCATACTGCACCATTCCCTCCTTTCTCGTCACACGAAGCAGCAAGCATTTACGTGACATAGGAGGAAGTAGCCGCGGCATGCTCACGGAAGTTGAACCTTCGGTGCCTTATTCTGACTTCATCCAGAGCATCGGTAAATGATTGCCGTGAAGTTTCGTGCGAGGGTGTGACATGGTGAAGCCTGCACCAGATATACGACGCAAGATGTCCTACAACCTAATCGGTATCTGCCAACACCGTCAGTCACCAACTCACTTGTGTCGGCATCTTGATGAGGGCGTGAGGCGAAATTCGTCGTCGAGGCCACAGAAGCTACATTGTCTCCGTGAAAGCACGACGGTCGATCGGACCGGGAGAAGCTCGCTGAACAGTGGCAGGACTGGGACCTGGGCGACATCCAAATAGACATGTGTGCTTGCGTTATAGCTGCACGCTCTACAAGCCTGCGGGCTTTTTGCTCCGACGCCAATGCCATTGCTGCACGAGCTGGCAAAGATGCTGCAGGGCCTCCAGCAGCCATCACTATGCAGCGTCCAGATATGCAAGGCCGACCACGACCAGACGTCTGTGGAAAGGTGAAACACGGCGTCGGATTGCGTCGTTCTAGCTCCCTTGGCGGCGGCGGCGTGGTGTCGCAGCGACGCAGAAGATGGTCCGTCGTGCCGCCCCGCGCAGGCCAAGGCGGATGGCCAATGGTCAAGCTTCTGTGCCGATTCGCACATCCAATGGGAAGTCGCGCGTGTCGCACCAAGCTTCGCACCAAGCTTCGCACCAAGCTTCGCACCAAGCATTGCCCTGCGACCGTGGTCTGCGACTCTGCGTGAGATCCCGTCGTTCGTGGTTCCACGCTTGCACCCGATGGTGTCGAGTGGCATCAGAACACCACCTGTTCCTGACGCTCGCTGAAGCCTGCCGCTGCCGCTGCCGCTGCCGCTGACGCTGACGCTGACGCAGCTCATGCCGCAGATGGCCTGGCACCGTCACAGAGAGGAAGGAGCTCTCGCCTCTCAGCTCTCAGCTCTGAGCTTTGAGCTTTCCACGTCCACCTTTTCTTTTGTTTGTCTCCTTCCTGCCACCTACATGTAGCCATCCCCCACCCACACCCACACCCACCGACATCAGCTTGCACAACAGGAAGCCATAGCTATTGCTGCTCGAACAATTCTGCACGAGCCCCAATCGAAGCTCGATAGTAGTACGCCGCCGCGATGGTTCACTTGGGCAGAGTCGCGACCGATAAAGATCTGGCGGATAAGCTGGTTCCAGGTCTCGAGGACTTGGATCTCTCTTACATTCCTGAGGAGGATGAATTCACTGCCAGCGTCTACGGCTCCAAGTACGCCGCGGCAGATCTGCCTCGACATGAGATGCCAGAGAATGAGATGCCGCGAGAGGTGGCTTACCGCATGATCAAGGACGATCTGACATTGGACGGTGTTCCAACTTTGAAGTCCTCCCCCCCCCCCAAAGACCCAAATAAATCCCTCGCTGACAGTGTGCTATAGCTTGGCCTCATTCGTGACCACCTATATGGAAAACGAAGCCGAGAAGCTCATGGTCGAGGCTTTCAGCAAGAACTTCATCGATTATGAAGAGTATCCAGTCTCAGCCGACATCCAAAACCGCTGCGTCTCAATGATCGCTCGTCTCTTCAATGTCCCAACTCACGACGAGAACACCAATGCCATGGGTACCAGCACCATCGGCTCTTCGGAAGCCATCATGCTGGGGACCTTGGCTATGAAGAAGCGTTGGCAGAACAAGCGAAAGGCCGAGGGTAAAGATTACTCGAGACCGAATATTGTCATGAACTCTGCCGTGCAGGTCTGTTGGGAGAAGGCCGCGAGGTATTTCGATGTCGAAGAGAAGTACGTCTACTGCACCAACGACCGCTTCACTATCGATCCTGAAGAGGCGGTGAACCTTGTTGACGAGAATACCATCGGTATTTGTTCCATTCTGGGCACCACGTACACGGGTGAGTACGAGGACACCAAGAAGATCAACGACCTTTTGATCGAGCGAAACATTGACTGTCCAATCCACGTCGATGCCGCTTCTGGTGGATTCGTTGCTCCATTCGTCAACCCCAACTTGGTCTGGGACTTCAGACTTGAGAAGGTCGTCTCCATCAATGTCTCTGGACACAAGTACGGACTCGTGTACCCGGGTGTTGGATGGGTGGTCTGGAGAGACCCAGAGTTCCTGCCAAAGGGTGAGCTTTTATCGATATGTATGCCTTCGCCCCAAACGACCACTGACGTGAATCAGAACTCATCTTCAACATCAATTACCTGGGCGCCGACCAAGCCTCTTTTACCCTGAATTTCTCCCGAGGAGCATCTCAAGTGATCGGACAGTACTACCAGCTGATCCGTCTCGGAAAGAAGGGGTACCGCAGCATCATGTTCAACTTGACGCGGACGGCGGACTACCTTTCTGCTGCAGTGCAGAAGATGGGATTCATCCTGATGTCGCAGACCAAGGGTAGAGGTCTACCACTCGTGGCATTCCGCCTCAATCCAGAACATGGCCACATGTTCGACGAGTAAGTCTTCCTCAATGCGTTGGAGGTGGCCCCTAGCTTACAGTTGTAGGTTCGCCATTGCTCATCAGCTCCGAGAACGTGGCTGGGTGGTTCCAGCGTACACCATGGCTCCACACGCCGAGAAGCTGAAGATGATGCGTGTCGTGGTTCGCGAAGACTTCTCCAGATCGAGATGTGATGCTCTAGTCAAGGACATCGCTCTGGCTCTGCACGAGCTCAAGAGTCTCGATGAGAAGTCATTGCAACAGCAGAAGGAGCACATGAAAATGCAGCAGGTTGCCAAGCATTGGCGGAAGAAGATCAACAACCACTATGCCGATGAGGATCACTCGCTCAAGGGCAAGCATGGCAAGACGCATGGTGTGTGCTAGAGTCAGAAAACACACGGCAGGTATGCGGGCTAGACACAGCAGACGTGAAGGCAGGATAGAGAAGACATAGACATGGAGACGACTGATCATGACTACTAGGAAGTGTTGTGGACCACTATCGCGTTCCAAGACTGGCAGCTTGCAATGTATTTGTTTTGATTACTAATCGTATATATATCTCGACTACCGAGGCTAGCAAACTTCGATAGCTAAAGGCTCTTAGACTCTACAACTATAGGCCTAGGTATGTTTATATTATATATAATATAGCTATCTATAAGGTTCTAGGAATACGATACTAGTTTTAGAGAATATTATAATTTTAGTTTCTATATATATCTATGCCCTAGTTTATAAAGGAAAATTTACTAATCTTACAATTCTTAATTATAGTTATGCTTTTTTAAGTTATATGGTAGTTTGTTCTAGCTATAGTATAGTAGTTTGTTCTAGCTATAGTATATAGTTTAGTAGGGCTTAGTATAAGTACTAGTATCTAAGTAGTAGTTTGCTGCTAGTCTAGACGCGCGCTATCAATTCCCTTAGACTCTTAGTTAGTAGGCTTTAAATATTTAGTTAGAAAACGAAATATATCTATAGCAAATACTAAGTACTACTTAGCTAATTACTATAGTAAGAGAGAATAGGACTTTAGCTATATACTAAAATAGCGATTTAGACTTTAGTAGTAAATTTACTAGTAGTAAAAGTTATTAACCTTAGCTTAAAATATATAAATAAAATTTAATTATTTAGGCTATATATAGAATATATACTAAAAGAATAGATATACTACCTTAGTAGAGGCCTAGATATATTATATATAACCCCCTAATTACTAGTAGTTATCCTCTAGCTAGTAAGTCTAGTAGTATAATTCTTAGAGATTAATAGCTTTAAGCTATACTATCTAGCTATTATAGATTTAGCTATTATACTAGTTATTTCTACTACTAGTCCCCCGATAAATTATATAGTTTAAAGTATAGAATACTAAATTACTAACTTCTAAATAGAGATAGGTCGATTAGTAGAGGTCGGTTAACGGTTCGACTAATAGTTCGATTTATAGTTTGATTAATAGTTTGATTAATAGTTTGATTAATAGTTTGATTAATAGTTTGATTAATAGTTTGATTAATAGTTTAATTAGTAGTTTAAATAGAAGTTAGATTACTAATAATAGTTTAATTCAAAACGTAATTAGTAGTTTAATTAATAGTCTAATTAATAGTTTAACTAACTGTTTGATTAGTAGTTTAATTAGTAGTTTGATTAATAGTTTAATTAGTAGTTCGACTAGTAGTTTTAGTTTAACAGAAACTTTAATTAGTATTATAGTAGTAGCTAGTCCCCCGATAAATTATATAGTTTAAAGTATATAATACTAAACTACTAGCTTCTAAATAGAGATAGGTCGATTAGTAAGTTAATTAGTAGGTCGATTAATAGTTCGATTAATAGTTCAATTAATAGTTCGATTAATAGTTCGATTAATAGTTCGAGTAATAGTTCGATTAATAGTTCGATTAATAGTCTTATTAGTAGTTCGATTCGTAGTTTAAGTACTAGTAATAGTTTAATTTAAAATTGAATTAGTAGTTCGAGTAGTAGTTTAATTAGTAGTCTTATTAGTAGTTCGATTCGTAGTTTAAGTACTAGTAATAGTTTAATTTAAAATTGAATTAGTAGTTTAATTAGTAGTTTTATTAGTAGTTTAACCAGTAGTTTTATTAGTATTTTAACTAGCAATTTAATTAGCAGTTTCATTAACTATTTAATTAATAGTTTAATTAGTAGTTCGATTACTAGTTTTAGTCTAATAGAAGTTTTAACTAGTATTTTATTAGTAGTTAGTCCCCTAATAAATTATATAATTTAAAGTATGTAGTACTAAATTACTAATATCTAAATAGAGATAGGTCGATTAGTAGGTCGATTAGTAGATCGATTAGCAGTTCGATTAGTAGTTTAGCTAGCAGTTTAATTAGTAGTTTGATTGCTAGTAACGGTTGATTTAAAATTTCGTTAGTAGTTTAATTAGTAGTTTAACTAGTAGCTTAACTAGTAGTTTAATTAGTCGTTTTATTAGTAATTTTATAAATAGCTTGATTAACTATTTAATTAATAGTTTAATTAGCAGTTCGATTACTAGTTTTAGTTTAACAAAAATTTTAATTAGTATTTTATTAGTAGTTTCTTTAATAGTTTTATTAGTAGTTTTATTAATAGTTTTATTAGTAGTTTTGTTAATAGTATTGTTTCTAGTTTAGTTAGTAGTCTTAGTACTTTAATTAGTAGTCCTATTTATAGGTTAGCTTATAGTCTTAGTAGTTTTAATTAGTAGTCTTATTAACAGTTTTATTAGCAGTTTTATTAATAGTCCTATTAGTAGTTTTACTAACTATTTTACTATTAGTGCCATTTGAGTTATTAGTTTTATTATTAGTTTTATTATTAGTTCTTTTATTAGGTTCACTAATAGTTTAGCTAATAGTTTATCTAATAGTCTATCTAACAGTTTACCTAATAGTTTAATTAATAGGTTTGTTAATAGTTTTCTTAATACCTAGTCCTACTAGTAGCTGCCTACTAGTAGCCCTACTAATAGTCTAATAGTCTAAAGTTACTAGTAGCTCTACAGCCTCTACTAATAGCTTTATTAAAATTAATAGTACTATTAGTAGTCTTACTAATATTTTCGCTACGGGGACCTTTATACTAGTCGATAGGCTTCGTATTTAGTAGAATATAGCTATATCTAGGTCTTTAGTCTACGTTAAGCTCCTACTAAATTTTTATTAGCGTTTTACGCTTATATCCGGGTTTCGTTAAGCGCTTTCGATTTACGTTCTACGCTAAAATCCGGGATAAGTTAAACTTCCCTTTAATCTTTAATTAAATATTACTTCTACTAAAATTCTTAGCTAATTATTTCGGTCTTAGCGGACAACTTAGATTTTCGCGGGCGGTAGGCGCGGTATCTAGATTAGTAGCTACGGTACTAATTATTTCGGTATTAGCGGACAACTTAGATTTTAATACTAGCTAATACTAGCTAATAGTCCGAGCTAATACTAGCTAACACTAGCTAATACTAGCTAATACTAGCTAGCTAACACTAGCTAATACCTACGCTAAAATCCGGGGCAAGTCAAATTTCCCTTTAATATTTGTTTCGATTGACGTTCTACGCTAAAATCCGGGGTAAGTCAAATTTCCCTTCAATCTTTGATTGAATATTACTTCTACGAAATTTCTCAGCCAATCATTTCGGTCTTAGCGGACAACTTGGATTTTCGCGGGCGGTAGCCGCGGTGTCTAGATTGGCAGCTGCGCTACTAATGATCCCTTCCTACGTGTGTTCGACATTCAGTTCGCGGTAGAGTCATCGGCGGCGCTTAGGCAGTTGATGGTCAATGCGATAGGGTGCGCCGGCTGCTTCCTTAGCTCGGCTCTACAAGGATGCAACAAGACCAACGTGATGCCCAGAACGAAGCATACGTACCCCGGTACCGTCCCTGTCCGGGTTCGGTTCTACGGTTCTACCTGACACTGCTAAACACAGTGCAGTGCTATAGGAAAGTACATCGCTCGTCGAATAGGGCCGTTGTTTAACTAGACTTTCGCTTACTATTATAGAGCTAAGGATTAAGATATTAAATTTTTTAAGCTAAATAATATTAAGGTATTAAAGTCTTAACAAATACAATAGGAATATTATGTAATTCTACTAACTACTAAAAGAAATAGATAAAACTATTATATATTAATTAAATCTTTAATTTTTAAAATAATACTAGTAATTTAAAATCTAAATTTCTTTAGTTTAGATTAGGGTAAAACTTAATATTAAAAAAATATCCTAGTTACTATAGAATAGAAGGGGGTAACTACTAAGGAAATAGAGTTTTTTAAGTCTTATAGTATTAAATTATATAGTTAGATAATACTAGAGTTCTTTTATATAAGAAAGGAGTATATACTAAATAATAGCTAGAAAAAAATTAAAATTAATATTTATATAGATAGTTAGTATATTTATCTGTAAGATGGCTTCTGTATGCTGGGTAGATGGTACGAGGCTTAGTACCGGTCTATCCGACGACGCCTTGCATTTGCTTTGGGCGCTTGCCACTGCTGCTGCCTCGGAGCGTAGAGTTGCGTGGACGATGATGTGGAAGTCAAGTTACGCGCACGCACACGCACACGCATACATAAATATTCTCCTAGTTCATAAGTCTAGTGGTTCGGCGGACTTGACGGAGCTGTGTAGCGTATAGCATACCCAGCTCCAACGTTAACATCAACGCTTTAAGTTCTTCCTGAACCTGAGATTGGTAGGCTTCGCAGAACAACAAAACACACTCTTGGAGCGCCACACTGTCATTCTGGAGGGTGCATTGGGTGTACAGCTATTCACGATGAAATCGTTCAAAGGCCTCATCAAGCGAACCAAGAGTATGTGTCTGTCCAGCTGAGTCCAATCCAGCGTGAGCGATCGCCTTGCCTTGCCTTGCCTCTGCTGACACCACCACTACCAGGCGTCTCGTCGCGCGGTGGTATCAGGAACAGAGACTCACCCGACTTTGACAATGCGCCCGCCGACTCGCCCGAGGCGAACGCTCCCCGCGCTATCCGACTCTTCTGCGAGAGCGCCAGCACCAGCAATGGCGGAGAGGAAGTGCTACACCTCCCCGTCATCGTCGAGTCCGCCGAGTCCTCGCCCATGGCCGCTGCGAGCGCTGCAATCCAGATCCGGAAGTTCCTCTCGAAAGAATGGCAGTCGAAACCGCGCGTGCAGTACAACGCTATCATGCTTATCCGCATCCTCAGCGACAACCCCGGCGCCACTTTTACGCGCAACTTCGATAAGAGCTTCGTGACTACGGTCAAAGAACTGCTCCGCACCGGCAAGGACCAGAGCACGCAGCAGATTCTGAGAGAGACCCTGGACGCCCTGGAAGTCAACAAACAGTACGATGAGGGTGTGCAGCCACTGCTGGCTATGTGGAGGAAGGAGAAGGGTATGGGAGGAAGTCTGAGCGGAGGCGGCAGGATGAGCATGAGCTTCAGCAGAGCCTCTACTCAACTCAATCGCACCGGCTTTCCACATCCGAACCCGCAAGAGCAGCAGCAGCAGCACAGGCAGGATTCGGGCAACAGGAGGAGACGAGATGGCGCGGGTCTGCCGAATGCTGTTGAGCTGGCAAGCCGGGTCGAAGAAGCAAAGAATACGGCCAAGATTCTCCTTCAGCTTGTGCAGAGCACGCCAGCAGAACAGGTTCTGCATGACGAGCTGCTGAAGGAGTTCAACGACCGCTGTCAGAGCGCGCAGAAGAGCATGCAGTCATACATCAATGCCGACCATCCCTCGCCTGATCATGACACCATGCACACACTCATTGAGACAAACGAGCAGCTCAGCCTGGCCACAAGCAGGTACCAGAGAGCTGTGCTTGCTGCCAGGAGGGCTCTTGGTCAATCGCCAACTCCACCTCAACAGCAGCTGAACCAGACGACAGCCTCGAATGGCTATGGCGCATTTGCGCCTCCACAACAGCAGGACACCGCGTTCACTTCAGCTCCGAATGGCTACGAGAATCAGAATCCATCCAGCAATCAGGTCTACAGCAATACTCGGGCACAAGCCGGCTACCAAGCGTCTCCGGGCCCACCACCAGACATGGTCAGTAGTCTCAATGCGCGAGACGCCCCGCAGACTCAGCCAACTCAACACCATCAACCCGAGAATCCTTTCGCGCATCCAGCAGATCAGCCGGCCGAACAGAGCTATGGCGCGTTCCAGGCTCCGTCACAGCCTCCAACCCATCAGCGACAGCAGCCTGCCCAGACTTTCCACATCGATTCCGAACCTACATTCGCACCGCAGCCACTCCCTCGACAGAACACAACCGATCTCGAAAACGCCTATTCACCAGACAAACCACAGATCTCGCCGGTCGAGACTCGCGGTAGCATTCCAAGTGATGCGGTAGTAAGCCCGTCCTCGCCGCAGCGTCCTGGAGTCGGTGCGTGACACACGAGCGACATCACCCAGAGCTATGTAGGCAGGCAGCAGAGGGCTGCCGGTCACTTGACGATGCACGGTGCGCAGCCGGAAGATGATGACGGAAAAATGAGCCCGGAAGAGCCCAAGAAGCCGACGAGGAGTCATTGAGCGAAGAGGTAATGAGCAAAGTGACAGTGTACTGATGGCAAGAACCAGAGACGGCTGTGCGCGTCTGAAGAGAGAGGATGAATGACGCGTGAAGTTTGATTGAGATACCACTTTTGTTTGTTTTTTCTTGTTTTGTTTGTTTTTGCTTTGAGAGAGAGGGGAAAGAGAGGGAGAGATATTTGTGAATAGCGAGCAATGAGCATAATGAACACTTGCGAAACAAGAAAAAGCTATTTGATTGATGGTGATTGGCACTACAATTGCCGACGCTAGCTCATGTATGGTGTGGAAATGTCCGTGCTGCTTTCTCTTTCCTGTGGAATACTTTACTACTTCCACGTAAGTTATCGATGAAGAGATAGATGTGCGGATTGACAGCACAGCTGCTTGTCTTTTCCCACGATTTCTTGCACGCGAGAGTGTGGTTGGAGAAAAACTTCAGCACGCTAGCCAATGTCCTCAAATTTGAAATCTCGATCAATCGTTGAATCGAGATTTTGAAGAAAAAATCTGGGCCGCAACAGCCGTGATGTTCCACTTCCACTTCCACTTCCTCCACTGCTGCTGATCGATCGGAAGCGCATCGGGGGGGTTGTTGTTGTTGGTGTTGTTGTTGTTGTTGTTGTTGTTGTTGTTGTTGTTTTTTGGTTCAGCGAGGGCAAGGATTTACGTATGGATACTCGATCAAGTTTGCGGGAACTGTGACTACTGCAGATATCTGAGCATGAGCGATAGACACGTGGTGTGTGGGAAAGTGGTTAATTATGGTACCATCCACTTGCAGGTGAAAGACAGGCAATTCTTTCGGCACTTTTCATCTAGGTATCGAACGATCAGCCGGCATTATTGTTCAACTTCTGCTACTGATGTCCACGCGCAAGCGAAGATGCTCTTTCACTAAAAACCAAGCGCTCTTCTTCGCTCGACTTTGGTCACACCCCTTCTCATCATCTCATGTCACCTGCACAGCCGCCTTGACTTTCTCCACTGCCGTTTCCAAAGCTGTGACTGCTTCTCGGACTGCTGTGAGTTTCGCTTCTGCTTCGTTACGCAATCGTGTTTCTCGCTTGAGTGCAGCCCGAAGACTCTCCATCGTTTGTGCATCTGGTACTGCTTCAACGGTCTCAAGAGCTCCTGCGGCGTTGCCATTTTCGGCGGTCAGCGCGACTGCAACGGGGTCAGCGGTACTTGAGTATCGTGATGAAGCCTCGGCCTGATCGGGCTCCTGCGGAAGCTGTGGTCGAGTTGGAGATGCATATGATCTTGCTGCTGCGTTGTTTCGCTTCTTCAGCCTTCTGCCTACTGGGCTGCGTGGCGGTGACCTAGAAGACCGACGCTTTTGCGACGAAGTTGTTGTCTCTCCTGAAGCGGGCAAGCTTGATTTGAGATCATGGTCGATACCATCAGGCCATTTTTGTATGCCACTGGTTCCTATGGCTACTTGGAAATCGCCGTTAGGGTTCTGCTGAAGGTCCGATAGAGTCGTCAAAAGAAGACCCCACGCCACGCTGTATCTCAGGCGAGCACGCTCTGCCCCAGCTCGCGACCCCCTGTTACCTATCGGAGGTATGGGCATGCCATCACTGTCGCAGATACGCCTCATCAAGTACACAAGGTGCATATCTCGATCGCTCTCTGGATCATTAGTTTCAAACCCCTTAGACTTTCGTGCTGCAATATCATCTGGGCTGATGTTCATTGCTTTCTCCACCATCTGCGGCATCTGAGTCAACCAGTTTGCCTCGTCGGTAGTCAGTGCCCTTCCAAGTTCCATGTATCTAGCACCGCTGAGCTCCGTCAGGCAGAAGTCTTTCAATGGACTTCGTAGCTCTCTTATCCAAGCAAGCATGGCCTCTCTATCTCGCTGGTAAGGCCCATTGACTAAGTCAGGAAGGAACTTTTTGGTGAACGTCCACTCCACCGGTGGATGCTCGGGCTGATGCTGTCGTTTAGACTTCCTGCCCTTCTTGTTTGCGGGTTTGGTATTCATGTTGGATTCGATCCTTGACTGCGATTCGATACTGTCGGAAGGCGTTTGTGTGACCTTGAGCGGTAATTTGAAGAGGTACGCTCAGCTGGCACACCTGGGCTGCGGTTGTGTATGCACCTTTAGGCCTTAATATAATTACGTCTGCCTTTGGGGCCATAAGAAATGTCCAGATAGCCTTGCAGTCTCCCTTGTCGATAGGTCTGAGACAATACTACACATAAGACAGTGTGAGAGTCTGCATTGCTACGTACGGGCTTTCTTGCTGTCTGAGATCAGTATGTCCTATTTAACAAGTTGATAAAGGATTGAGTGTCGCTGAAGACTGTTCAATGTTGCTCTTGAAGGCATCATTCACTTCCATGTAATGATGAACAACCTGCAGACGCCATCGGGCCATGCTGGTGCATTCGTACAAACATTGGACTGAACAAAGTTCCGGCGGCAAGTATGACAGCAAGTCTCTTAGAGCTCGAGCTGGCCGATGACGCGGAAATCTCAATGTTGATGCTGGGCCCATGTCGTGTATCTGAAGTTCTTGTCTTGCTTGTCGGTGCCATCGGCAGCACGACCATATTCATCTTCCATTGCCCACTCTTCTCTCTGCAAGGTCGATCTTATAGACCTGTGCATGCTCATGGTCAATCACCCTTTCGAGCGGCAGCTTCTTTTCAGCATCTTTGCTGAAGATCATGTTGGCGTTTTCCATCGCGTATGCGTCTTCTAGGCAAGCGAACAAACCTATCCCTACTGGAAGTGCTTGACCACGAGCGTGGCCGTGTCTAGCAATTTTGGGGAACATTGCGGCCAGTCCTTGGCCGTGCGGCTGCCGTCTTATCGATTCCATCGGCTGTCCTGGCACGTGAAGTAGTCCATTGCAATCGGCGTTTGCTGGAGGAAGCGGATTGACAAGGTAATCTGTCCCATTGTTGTATGAAGGTGGGTTGTGAATGAGAGGAAACAGCAGACCGGAGCGAAGGGAGTGAATGGTTCCAGCGAGAAATTGAGTTCCGCCCGCGGTCCACTCCCGCAGTTTCCTCTACTGTACCTCACCAGGACACCAAGCACCTTGGTGGCCAACAGCTACTGCTTCTTAGCTATGGCCACGGAAAAAATGAAGCCATGGACAGCGACAACGCGCAAGAGATATAGATTGGTAGACGCCAGGCTTGTCGGTGAGCTCGGCAGATGAGAGTGACGACTGTAACTAGTTCCGCTAATTACATGTCTGTACAGATCCAAAAGATGGCGGTGTACACGAGAATGTCACGATAGATATCAAAGATGGCGTCATTCACCGCATGACTAAACTCAGCTCAAAGCCCTCGCCAGGCGATGAAGTCCTTTCCTGGACGCATAACGAGCCGGTCGATATTGTCAACCTCGAAGGCAGATATGTCGTACCAGGCCTGATCGACTGCCATGTCCATCTTGCCACGCCTCCCGGAGAAGATGGCCTCAAAGATACCATGAACCAAGACCCGAACACTGCGCTCCTTCGCCAACCGTATCTGGCATATGAGATGCTCAAACGCGGCTTTACTTCCATTCGTGATTGTGGAGGAGCCGGACTCGCCATGAAAGAGGCCTTAGCGGAAGGTTTACATCCTGGCCCGCGACTCTTCATTTCTGGTCATGGAATATCGCAGACTGGAGGTCACGGCGACATGCGATCGTCCAAAGACGAAGAGTACCAGTGCTGCGGTGGCAACACCAGAGGGCTAGGTCGAATCGCAGATGGTGTAGATCAGTGCCTGCACGCGGCTCGCGAGGAGATCAGACAAGGCGCAGACTTCATAAAAATTATGGCAAGCGGTGGTGTGGCATCCAACACGGACAAGCTTACGAATCTCCAATACACCCCAGAAGAGATTCGTGCATTTGTGAGGGTCGCGAGCGATTCTCAAACCTTCGTGACTGCTCACGCATACACCCCTGCTGCTATACAGAATGCTGTCGCCAATGGCGTGCTAGGTGAGAAAGCAGAATGCTGTCAAATCCAGGTTGCTGACGTGGAAAGGTGTTGAACATGGAAATCTGATTGATGAACCGACGGCGAAGTTACTTGCGGAGAAAGGCGGTTTTCTTACTCCAACACTGGTAAGGCCCATGGATGGCTGGGATGATTGCCCGCATGCTGACAATGACGTCCCAGATTACTTACGAGGCTATGGCATCCCGCGAGTTCGGTAATTTCTTACCTCCGAGTATTGCCGCCAAGAACGCGAAAGTACTGGAAGCCGGATTGGCCTCGATACAGCTTGCAGATCGGTGTGGCGTCACCATGTGCTTTGGTACAGATCTTTTAGGACCGCTGCAAGTGATGCAGAGTCGTGAATTCAAGCTTCGGAAACAGGCCGGGCTTTCGCCCTTGAAGATCCTTCAAAGCGCAACTGTCAATGCAGCACGAATGCTCAGGCAGGATGAGAAGCTCGGCAGAGTGAAGGAAGGCTTCGCTGCAGATCTTTTGATCCTGAATGCGAATCCGCTCGAGGACATCGAGGTGTTGGTTCGACCAGAGAAGCACCTTTTGGCGGTGATTAAAGATGGCAGAGTGCTTTGCAGCAGATGGTCCAAGTTACGGCTAGATCTTGGCCAGACTGCCTTGATTGAGTAAAAGCCCATACGTGGAGGGTGATTTCGAAGCATGGACTATTCGCCATTCTCAAGTATTAAATGGCGCGACTGGGTCCACACTGATGTCCAGAGCATCCAATCTCCAAATCTCGAACATCATTGCCTCTTTCTTGTCGACCATTGACATTTCGTATCGGGTTTCAATCGTCCCGTCATCCTTCATCATTTCCACATTCCTTCCGAGCTTGTAGCAAAAGTCTGCCATACAGACGAACTGAAGGCACGGGGGAGGCCTGCGTGATAGGTCTAGGCCCATACGCCACATTCGCTCTTCGTGCGACCACGTTCGTAAGTGTTGCTGTAATTGTTCGTTGTTCAAGAGGCGCAAAATCTTCAATTTGGGCAAGAAGGGCATTAGAAGGCGAATGGACTCGTGATCCACGCTGTCGATCGCCATTCCTAGTTGCTCTAGGTTCGGACAGTGTCTCACGAGGTCTGCCATCTCGTCCTTCGTGATCGCCCACAAATCGGAGAGGAGCAGGTGCCTTAGAGCTTCGCCATGGAAACGAGAGATCGCGTGCAGATAATCTTTACCCAGCGCGATCGATTCCGGAGACGCATTTTCGTCGTGTGGTGTGTCTACGCTTGGAGTGATCGGACTGCCGGAAGTTCCATTGAGTGGTGTGAATCCTGTTTTTGGGCGTTTCGCGTTGCTGACAATGTAGAACTCCTTCATTTGCACCCTGGATTTGCGCATAATTTCGATGTGTGATGGCGAGATCTCGTTGCATCGTACACGTTCGAAAGCAGTCATCATATCCTGCGGAATATCCTTCCACGTGTCATCCACGAAAACTGTTCGCGGATCGTTGCCTCCAAATGTGTCGATGAATGTGATGCTTTTACAAGATTCCGTTTCGAAGATTTGGTCGAAGCCCAGTACGTTCGGTCCAAACCAGTTCTGGAGGGCGAAATGCTTGACCTTGAGCTTGTAGCCAGCTTTGTGACATCTTCCAAAGAACAGATTGAGATTCATGATGGACTCTGCCTCTGCTCGCATGCGCGGAGAGAAGTGTAGTCGCACATCTTCAAGCTTTTTCGAGTGAAGCATGAGCATGCTGATATCGTCCGGATAGCACATTGGGTCGACATCCATTGCCCGAAACGCGCGGAGGTTGAACATAGGCGGAATCAGGACTGATGGCCGTGGAACACGTGTAGATGGGAATCTCAACGTAAAGCTGGTCAATGTGTTGTGCGCACCTAAGCCCTGATAGAGGGTCTTCAAGGGCTTGCAGTTGAGCTCCCAGCAAAAAGACTCCAGCTTTGTCATCTTGTCCGTGGCCGCTCGCAGGAGAATGTTGAGCATCATCGAGTTGCAAGGCACTCTTCCCTTGGCGAAATCGTCGATACCAGTCTCTTTCCATTCTCCCCAAACACGGAAGTCTCTAACCAAAGCACCATGTCCCTTGGTCACCAGCCCATTCAAAGCCATCATGAACGGGCTGCCACTCCCAAAACCCTCCGGCCTGCCATTGATGTAACGCATTTCGCCATATGAATGGAGATTCACATTTTGGTACAACTGAGGCAGGGTCATGTAATACATCAACCTTGACGTCCGACACACTCTTGCCAAATCTCCTATGTCGTCCAGATAGGAGACGATGAGCGCAACCAGGTTGAGCGGCAGCGCAGTCGCGGCTCTCGGCGTGCCATCGCTCGCGGGAATCGTGCTCACGGCGGGCGAGGTGTATTGAACGTAGCGCGGGACTGGAAGGTGTTATTAGTACGATGCGATGCGATGCGATTTGGGGAGCACTGCTCTGGGCGCCTGACTTTCTCGAAATGCGTTCGTCGGGGCTTGTCCCATATCAGCTACAGCTGGAGCAGCCATCATCTTCTTCCTCGCAGGTGCCTCGACTTCGCGAGCGCGCTTCATGACAGTGGCGGCGGGTTTTCTGTGGGAGCCGTATGCACATGCATGTACATAGAGGATGGATGTGCACATTGCACAGGCCCGGAGCTTCAACGCACAACTGAGCCGGGTATGCCTATCGCAAGGTCAATAAGGTTACTCATGATGACATGGATGTAGTTATTAACACGCGCTTGATTCAAGGCGCATTATTGATTATTATCAATATATCAATGTACCATATGCACTGGGTTCCAGCGGGCGAGCCTGCAGCCGCTGCTTCGACCGATTTGTCTGCACAGTGACGGTGTCATCCTTGATTGAGCTGCACACAACATCGACCAGGAGGCCGTTCGGACTTGTGCAGATCCGAGAACAACATCTTCGGGCCATGTCGCTGGAGCATCCGATCCAGCAACTCATCCACACGTATCACGAGCTGAACGTGAGCGCCGTCGACGAGTTGCACCGCGTGCCCAGCGCCCTTGAGTTCTCGCGCTTTGTGCGCAAAAATAGACCATTCGTGGTCCGAAATGCTGCCTGGGATTGGCCGGCAGTCCACGCATGGGACGCAGCATACTTAACCCAGACCATGCTGGGCCAGTTGGTCAATGTTGCCTGCACGCCGAAAGGGTAGGACGACAACACCCCGACCCTGGTTGAGCTCGGCCAGTTGACGAAACAGACTAGGAATGCGGATGCCATCGTGGAAGATGAACTTGGTGGTCTTATGTACGTCGAGCCGTATGAGACATCGGAGGCATTCGAGGATTTTTTGAAGTACGTGCAGGAGGATACCAGTCTGCTCCAGACAGGTCGCTCGGACACGCCCGCGGCGAGGACTGTAAAGTACGCACAAACTCAGAACGACAATCTGCGCGGCGAATACTCGAATCTTTTCGCAGACGTGCCTCCTGACATCTCATACGCGACTCTTGCGCTGGAGCAGGAACCTGATGCGATCAACTTCTGGCTGGGGAATGAGCGATCCACGACTTCGCTGCACAAGGACAACTATGAGAATATCTATGTGCAGGTCCGCGGCCAGAAGCATTTTGTGCTTTTGCCACCTGTTGACATGCCTTGCGTGAACGAGAAGCCAGTGGCCTGCGGGCGATATCAGCCCTCGTCGGAGACCAGCCTGGAGTTCGAACCCCGTCTACAGGCGGATGCAGAACCTGTTCCCGTACCTACATGGGACCCGGACGAACCACAAACGCGTGCCACTGAATTCTCATCGTTGTCAAAGCCGACGAGGATTTCATTGAATGAAGGCGACATGTTTTACCTGCCCGCAATGTGGTATCACAAAGTCAGCCAAAGCCCCGGTCCTGAGGGCTTTTCTTGCTCTGTAAATTACTGGGTAAGTGCATAGAGCCCCAGAGCATTATGAAAGAGACACCACTCGCTGACTCAGTCCCTTCCGTATTCTATAGTACGACATGTCATTTGACGGGGTTTTCTGGGCCCAGAACGCTTTCCTGCGAGATGTTTCTAATGCTCAGGCACGAAAAGTCGTGTATCCGGCCTTCAATTTTGGCGATGAGGCAGAGCATGAGTCTGATGCGCCATCCATCTCATAGACAAGTTTGGGCATACCGTTCGCGCCATGATACTGGTGTCAGGAGCATGTTCCACCTTAATCAGATGAGCCGCCTTCTCCGTCAGAGAATACACCAAACTTATTATATTGCCTTGGACATGGAGCGGGAACACGGAAGCATCCACGACAAGTAGGCCATCAACGCCATGCAGCTGCCGTTTGGTGTCCACCACACCGCCATCAACTTGCGGCAGCATTGCACTAGTTCCAATGGGATGATACATCGTGAGCTGGCGCTCGCGAACAAAATGTGCAGATTGAGAAGTGACCTAGAAGAAGAAGAAGAAGAAGAAGAAGAAGAAGAAGAAGAAGATATCCCATTCTGCATTTCTGTGCTTTGTATGCAAGACGCCTTCTGAAGACCAATGCTAGGCTTTGCATGTATGCTATCCTCCCTCGATGCGTGTGGATCACGCAACAATCGCCTTGCTTGGGAAGTGTCCGTGGTGATGAATCTTTTCATATCAGTGTTCCTAATCACTCATATGGACTCTTGCTAGTGTATTTGGTAGACGTCACGCCATTGAGTGGCTTTTCGCCAAGCTTCACGACAGACATGTCCCTGCCGTAAATCTTAGACTCGGCAACGCGCTCAGCGACCAGAAAGCCTCCTGTGACCTCGTTGATGAACTACACATCAGTTAGCGCATTGAATAGAGTAGCGATTTCGAAATTGTTCCTCACCTTCTTGAACTTGTCGCTCTGACGAATGCCGCATTTTTGAGTAGCCTCGACATGACCTACAAGAGCAGCGCACGTATTGAATCTCTTGTAGCAGCCCTCGCATCGGTAGAAGCTACGCAGGTGCGCCAGCTCAATGTGCTGCTTGATCTCGTCGAGGGTAGTAAATGTGTTGGAGAGGGCGGTCTGGGACTGGCAGGCGGGCAGAGGGCAAACGTAGCACTGGAGAAACTCGTTCCAGAAGTATTGCTCATCGTTCCAGAAATGGGTGTTTAGCAGATTCGTGTTCTTGCTTTGCTCGCGATGGAACTTGGTGATCGCGTCCCACTTGCCTGCCGCTGGTTGGCTAGATGTCTCGACCTTTTGGGGCGCCTTTGAGAGCCTGCCGCTGGTCCAAGCAGAAGAAGTGGCTGAAGGAGCGCCGGCTCTCGATGTGGCCCGAGAAGACAATTTTGGCCACGCTTTCACACTGGCATGATCATGAAAGTCCATCAGAGACCGCTCGGGCTCCAGAGGCTTGTAGCCACTCTGCTGAGCTTCATCATACTCCTCCAAAATCGAAACACCGCCTTCATCCGGATCCTCAGCCTCAGCATCAGACTTGATTGACAGCTGTTCCATCGGCGGAAGAAGCTGCTTTTGGTTCTGCATGACCAGCTCGGAGAATATTCCAGGATTCTTCATGACTTGTGAGAGGATGTACTTATGCTGCATATGTGAGTAGAATTGGTCCTTGGTAAAGCGCGAGCAGCGACCCTGCTCGAGGTGATCGATCAAGTGCGATGCTCGTGGAAACTTGCAGCTACAGCCTGGGCACTCGACGTCTTGGTCAGCTGGATGAGCTTGCCTACGGTGATCTCTGCGACCGCCCATGCTCTTGAAAGTTATTCCACAGAGCTCGCACACGATGTGCGTCGGACGCTCGCCGCTATCTCTCTTCTTCTCGCCCAGGAAAGGCGCCATCATGTCGACCTGATGTGCCAGCAGACCCTCCCAATCCGCGCAGTCGACCTTGCATTTCTTGCAGTAGAAGTGGGATGGCTCACGAATCTTGTGATGGATCATGTCTTCGACTGTGTCAAAGCGGTGTTGGCAGTCAGCATAGCTGCATGGTACAGGCTTGCCTTGGGAGGCCTTGCGCTGCTCGCTGGTCAGCGTGGTGGTGGTCTCGGAGTCGGAGTCTGAAGACATGATGGCTGTTGAGATGTGGTAATGTTCAGCTTGTATGGGCCGTTGGTGACTCGATATGGCTTTGTGGGAGGATGGTGGTGAAGTCGAAGTTGTAAGGAGTGGCTGTCCGGCACCAAAGGTTTCTGCAGGTGTGGAGCGGTCAGTGTGTGCGTGTCCGAAGTGAGGGTGAAGCAAGTCAGGGAAAGTGCGATGCCATCAACAGTCGCAAGCTTGACTTCAGGCGCGCGCAAACATTCACTTCAATTTCATCTCAGCTCTTCACAAGGCCCCCTGATTCTACCAGATAACTTCACTTCCACACGACAGCATGCTTGGTCGAAGAGAGAGACCAAATCACAAGAAGGCTGCTCAAAATCAACTTCTCGAGCTGATCTTCTCAAACGATCATGCCCGTCCACCCCCACCAGATGCCCTTTTCTCACATCGAGAGTCCAGACCTCACGTTGAGCGCTCCCTTGATGTACGTGCGCTGTGATTCTGCTCAAAAGTTCGTCCCTTGACGGCCAAATCAGCAAAGCTCGAGAAACATGCACAAGCAGATAGCATACCTGAGATGCCTTCCTCTCACCTTCCCGGCTTTGAGCCTGGACAGTAGTCGTATTCCCGAAATCGAAGTGGTCCTTCTCAAATGCAAATGGAGCGATCTGAGTAGGACTAGCCATGCCCAACTCCCGTTGCTTCTGGGTCCTCTGCAGGATTCGCTCTTGTCGCTCCCGCATGCCTGCTCAACTGATTAGCATAGAGTAGCAAAAACTTGATTGCAACGCATATTCATACACAATGGTCGCTTGGGATGTTCTCGAAACTGCTTCGCGTCCAGGAAATTGCCGCTTGGGCTTCGAACATGTCCGTCCGCTGCAATCTCATCAGGATCGAAGATCTCGCTGAGTGTGAGCTTTCGAGGGACCATTGGAGGGCGGGACACATCAGAGTGCCCTTCTGTGGAATGAATGCTGATCCGGGGTGCTACTAGCGTGCTTGCATTCGACATGGTGGTGGAATATCGATTCGTATGGCCGACAACTGGGCGTGGTTTGGAGCCGGCGCAACCCATTGCCTTGCGCCTTTTAACCAGATAGATGCGATGAGCAGAGCGTCAATGCTTTGAACTGCGGACTGCAGCGCTGATGATATCTTCGACTCGTCGATTAGCGTTGCCAAGTGATCTCTATCGACGCTTTTATGCTTGATTGCTTGAAGCTAAATGTTTGACGATAACTCTGCGTGAACGAGCATTGGCGTAGGTCGCCTCACATGCGCGGCATTGTCATCAGAGTGAGTGCATGTGCACCTCGCAAACTCATCGTCACAAGTTGTCAATCACAGAATATGTTCAGCAGCTCCCTGTGCGAACGTTTTTATGTTCACACTGTTCTCTTTCTCGATTCCACAAACATTAGCTGAAGCTGAGGTGCGTCGTCAACAAGGTCTAACCTTGTCGTTTCAAGCTGAAGCAAAGACGGTTGACGCAGGATCTTGAGCGGTCGAGCCGGAAATTGTGGCGTGCGTCGTGCAAGCAATGTGGTGTCTCATCGCCGCGTGCTATCGACTAGATATACCGAGATCTGTTCCATGTCCCTAAGTACTCGGTTGAGTACACCGAAGAAGTCCTAAATCGCCAAGCAAGACCTGCGATCCGTTGAGCAGTGTTAACATTGCAAGAAGACTTTCTCTCGTTCAGAAATTGTAAGTACTGTCATTACCGCAGGTCAAAAGTGAATCTGGTTTCTACAAGGCTCACGGTACATCGACGATTGTCTAGAACCGAGTGTATGGAAGCCTGGATTCTGTGTCAGCCATATCTCCCAAGGCATCACCAGTCTCCGCCGCCACTGGACTTACCACTTTCCGCGCATTGTGATTTTGACCCAGTCGCCCTTCTCATCTGTCTCCTTTTCCACCTTTGTTGAGTAGGAAATAGCGCTCATGATGCCATCTCCAAACTTCTCGTTAATGACGGCCTTGTACGCATATCCATAGTTTTGCACGATCTCATACAGACGGTACATCAAAGGCTCTTTTGGTGGCATCTCCATCGATCGTCCTCGGTCTGGCAGTCCTACGATCTCAGTCTCGCGAAGCGTTGCCTCTGGGATGTCCAAAAGCTTGGCAAGTTTGGAGATATCTTCATCGGATGCCTTTGCCTGTCCATAGAAGATCGCGGCAGCAGCTACTTCATCACGCCCAAGATCTTTCGCAATTGTCTCGAAGGAGAGGTTCTTGGCCTTCTTCTGGGCGAATAGAATCGGGCTGTGCGAGGGGAGCTTGTGGACTAGATCTTGCTGTGTTGCTGTTAGCGCTCTTCGTTCCGAGTGTAATCAAGAATAGAGCCCGTACAGTGAGAACGGTGATCGGGTGACCAGAAGATGTACCTTGCTGTGCCATGATGAGTGTTGTGTGAGGTTAGATGGTGGTATGGTGCTCGAATTTGCGATTGACTTGCGTTGACGGCGGATTCTGGAGCTCAAATACTCGCCTCGCCTAGGCCTAGGCGAGGCGATTACACAGTGATGCAACTCTGGAGCATACTGGAGCTACTAGAGAGGAGGAGCTTGCAGGGAGCTGGCCATCATTCCGGCTTTGCTTCCACTTCTCCGCTCCTATTCTTTCTTCCACTGGCCTAACCCCCCATCTTCCCTATTTGTATTCACTCGCTGTTCCTGGGCAGATCATCTCCGGTGTAGCCTGGTAAATGGCATCTCGGAGATGCAGGTCGGCGTCAGTGGAAACCTCGTTTCTCGAAGAAGGCAGATGAGATGGCTGGGCTGATCTTACAGTATGCTTGGCGAACACCTTGGCTCTGCTGACTCCGTCGCTAATGGCTACCTCCTTCTCAGGCTCTTCTTATAGACTTCATCCCACCTTCTACCTTCTACCTTCTACCTTCCACCTTCCACCTTCCACCTTCTATCTTCCACCTTCCACCTTCCTTCACCCAACCTACGTGCAATTAGCGTCGATCGGTTCTCGGCTCTTCTGTATATAGTCTAGTGTGTAGAAGAAGTCTTCGTAGAAGAGCCTACTGAGGTTCCGGAAATACCTGTCATTTCCGGCTAGAGGGGCCGCCAAGCGACAAGGAGCAGCATCACACCCAATTTCCACCAATTCTAGCTCTTTCAAAGTGCCTATCTTCTCTGTCTCTTGCCTTGTAGTATACTAGTCCATTTTGAAGCCAAAGTTGTCGCTGTAGAACAGTAGTATAGCCGTTTCCGAGGTATAACAAGCATGCAGCTAGGCAAAGAGCTCACTCCGGCGCATCAGCAGCTAATTAAGGACTGCTTTGCAAAGGGTAACAATATCGACTAGACTATTAAGAATACCAAGCTCCCTATCGATCGGCGTACGATATATCGACTACTTAACAATTAGAAGTTGTTTAGCGAGTTGTATCTACCTCGTATAATAAAGCGTAGTAGACTAACGATCTTAACCTACGCTTAAGAGACGTTTATTCTAGTATACTTAGGCACTCGTCCTAACGCCTATTTTACAGAGATAATAGAGGTTGTAATCGACGAGTAGCCGGAGCTCGCGGAGACGTTAAAATATCGGCAGTTATTAATAGTGCTAAAGAAGTATAACTAGAGTCGTAAAGCGTATCGTAGGATAGCGAAGGAGCGTAACCCGTTACTAAGGGCTTTATAGATGTTTAGGTACGCTAAATAGCCGGTAGATAGGTTAATCTTTATCGACGAGACGGCCTATAATTAGAAGACTAGTTAGCGCAAGTATAGATAGTCTCTAAAGGGCGTAGATTGCCGCGACTTTAGGTACGCTTAACGTAAGGTCCGCTAGTCGATACTGCCGGCTTTTACTATTAATAGTTATCTGCCGTATACGATAAGTCGATAAGGCTTAATTACTCGAGAGATCTTTATTAACTAGCTAACTAAGAGAGTTATACCTACGCTCGAAGGCTATCCGCCGATAATCTTTATAATAGACAATGCTAGTATCTACTATAGTTTAGAAGTTAGAGATACGATATTGTTAGCTAGTTACTAACTCGAGTACTTACCGCCGTACTTACCGGATCTTAATCCTATCGAACAAACCTTCAACTACCTAAAGGCCTTTATTAAAAAGCACATTCGCGACTTAGAATACTTTAAGAACTTCGGCGACTTCCTATATTATTGTCTGTAGCGCTATAGCGGTCTACGAGCGTAGAAACTCTTCGAATATGCCGGATACAACGTATATTATCGAGATTTCGAGTTTTCCGAGGAGGACTTCGTTAGTGCGGCCGGCTACGTATAAGATCTAATAGGTCTTAATCTAGAAGAGTCCGTATAGCACGCCTAGGCTCTATCTACGCTAGCGGCGATAATTAATAAGTAGTATAAGGATATAGAGAGTAAGGAAGATAGTAAAGAAGAATAGATCTAGATACTAGAAGTTTGTTAGGTAGCGAGGCACCTGCGCTAAATCTACTAGCGCGCACAGTCCTAAGAACCTATATAAATGTTCGAATAGCTAGCTTTTAGATGCTGCAAGTTTCTTAACATACAACGTATGTAAATACTTCAAATTAGACAAATGAGATAGATTTAGTCTTATATAGCGGCGCCCGTTAGTATTACAAAAATTAATGGTATTAACGTTATATAGTAAATGCGAGAATCGAAGCCGAATTCGTTCCTTTACGCAGTCTCCTTAGCTCCGGCTAGCTCCGCCGCTATAATCTTATTAGCTTTTAGTAGTAAGAACTTCTCGACTAACTCCTTAACTTTAAACCTCATTCTACTCGCTAATTGAGTCTCTTCCTTCTAGGTCTTCTTGTCTATATTAGCGACGGTAATAATATTAAAGTCCTCGTCGATGTATAGCTTCTAAAGGGACCGTATAGGCGCTAAATCGACGAAGGGCGGTATCTAAAGAGCCTACTAGAAATACCCTACCCGAAGCTCCTTACTCTCTAACCTATAGTTTAGTAACCCTTCCGGCAGTACTGTTAGTATAGAGATATCCTTCGGAAGGCCCGGCCTTAGAAGAGAACGAGTAGGAGTCTTAGATAGCGTTGTAGGTATATAGCCTAGACCTATAGCTGCTATAAAACTAGCTGCCGCCTTGTCTCCGAAGATAATATTAATAGGAGCCTATTTAGGGCGGGCTTTAGCTAGAGTCGAGTCGCTATAACCTATAGCTACACCCTTCTTCCTAAGCTGCTTAGTAACCTTCTTAGTAACATCTCTCTCGAAGTGGAGCTTTATTATTAAGATAAGAACCTCTAGGTGTATTTAATCGCTAAATTTCTACTCCTCGGCGGCAATCTTCCTCGCTAGTAACTTGATTACTTTACTAGTTATTAACTAGTGTTCGTTAGGCACGTCTTACTTAGCAGGGTTGCGCTAGCAATAAGTCTTCGGTCCTTTAATCTTTACGTTACGACACCCTACTAGATTGTAGGCAAACTCGGCTCGAATGTTAACCTCGAAGTTACTAGCAGTATTTAATTCTATTACTTAAGTGTCCGCTAAGGCAAGCTATTGCTAACTAGGAGTGCCCTTCTTCTGCTTGCCGCCTTGTCGCTAAGCTAAGGCAACTAGTCTAGCGCCTGCCGGACGAGGCTTCGTATAGAAATATATATCGATACGAGGGTTAGTTAATCCTTCTTCTAACTATTCGAATAAGCGGTCGTAGGTACGGCTATAAGCTTTGTCTTCTTTAGAAGCTCTATTATTATCGTCGATCGGTTGTAGCTAGCTCTCTTAATAATAGTCCTTCTCTTTAACCTCTTTGCAATAAGCGACTAAAGACACCCTTATACAACGCTCGAGATTGAACTTCTCGGTTACCTTGCCTGCCTACTTGAAGCCGGTCTACCCTTCGGCTAGATCGCAGACGTCGTATATATACTGCTTTATAGCGACCTGTTTCTTATCCTTAGACTTCTTAGCAGTGTCGATAACATACTAAGTGCCCTTATAGTCTAACAAGCGCAACCCCTTCTTATTTGTAAGCCGCTTACGAGTGTAAGACTCTAGCGTAAGAGCGACAGCTCTACGACTAAGAGCTCGAAGTCTAGTAGAAGCGGAAGACTCGAAGGACGAAGTCGCAGTAGAAGAAGCTGTCTCTAAGCCTACTATCTTACCGCTAACGTTACTAGCAGGGCAATTATTGGTACCCGAAGCCGTAGTGCCCGTAGTAGAGTCCTTATTTACCTCAATTATTGGCGCCTCGGTCTTATCCGCTTGTTTCTTCTTACCGGCGCCTCTAGACCTCTTCTTAACTAGCGGCGGCGTCTGCCTCTATCTTAGGCTATTTTCGCTTTATACTCGTAACTTCCTTTATATTCTACGTGCACCGGATCTCGGGTTTTCTTAATGTAGTATAGTATAGAAGGAAGAGCGAGCCTTAGCGAAGCGCCTAAAGACAAACTGTACTAATCGGGCGATTCCTTATTTGTAACACCTCCTTATAGAGCATATATAGATTTACAACTTAACACCTACTATAGATAGGGCTTAGCATATATAGAGGGGGTTCTATAGTATAGGAAGGCGCAATACATCGTAAATATTTTGAAATTAGTATCGTAAAAGTGAGATCTATAGTCTATTCTAACTATACGGACAGTTTCGGCTTCGCGTTTATTCTACGAATACCTATGTTGCAATAGACAACAACTATCTTCTAGAATACTCTATCTATACGAGGAACCTTAGAAAGCAATGCTCTAACACCTCTAAGTGTCGCTTTACCCGTATTTGCTATGCTTTACTTGTGCTCGCTACCTATCGGTACCTACCCTTAAAATAGCTATTTCGCTAATTTATCGAAACCTCGATATCTATACGGATACCTAGCAACTTAAAACTTCTTAGACACCTTTAAGACATATCCGCGATCGTGTTTAACGTTGTGCGCTACCGGATAATCCAGTATTTAGTGCCTCTATATCGCATCTAGTATATTAGCTGCCCGAATATCCGCGATAGCGACACTCGAGCGCTGAGACCTACTGTTCTAAATAGTACGGATACCCGCTCCGCAGTCTTCGCTGCTTCTTAAAGTCGTATACACTACCGCTTAACAGACCCCGACTGTTATATCTAATACTCGAAACCTAGTCTTCCGATATCTTCTATATCTACTATACTAACACTTCCGCTAACACTTCCGATAGTATATAATAGGCGACCGTAATGCCTAACGCGCTCTCTAACCTCTCTACGCGCGATCGCGATAAGGCTAAGAAGGGCAGACTTAATGTCGGCGATACTAGCGCTAGCGCTAGAAATCGGCGTAAGAAGGAAGGCGATAAGTACTTCGTACGCCTGCCCGGTCGGCCTGCAATTAATCGAATAGAGCCTTAATAGACTATCGACCGCGAGCTAGAGATGCTAGAACTTAACGAGGATAATAAAGCTAGTTAGGCGGCATACTTCGAATAGCGCTACGCTAATATAGACGAGTATAGCCTCGAGGAAGTATAGCTACTTGTATAGGATACTAGTAGCAATTAATAGGCGATACTATTCTATCGTCGCATTGTCGAGCATAGTCTACGGCGTATATTAAAGCTAATGCATCCCTATCGCGAGCTATTACTAGAACCGACTAAGATACAGCTCGACTATATCTATACTATTATCTTCGGGAGACAGGATGTGTTACTTTTAGCTCGTACTAGCGCTAGCAAAACGATTATCTTCTAGGCCTATACTATGCTTACTAGCTTTATTATATTACAGATCGTGCCGCTAACCCGCATCGC